GATTTTGGGGGGGGTCCCATGGGAATTTGGGGAGGGGTCCCTCACCTGTAGATCCTGCCCTCGCTGGGGTCCCCCCAGAACAGGGACCCCCCCTCAATGTCCGCCTCCAGCGCGGCCGCGTGCTTCAGGGACCCCCGCAGGATTTGGGGTTCGGGACCCCCCAGGGCCAGGAGCTGGTGCCGGGTCCCCACCAGGAGGGTCCCGGGGGGGCCTGGGGGGCACAGAGGGGTCAGAGCGGGGGAGGGAGACCCCAAAATCACCCAAAATCACCCAAAAATCACCCAAAATCATCTAAAATCACCCAAAATATCCTAAAAGCTGATAAAATCACCCCAAAATCACCTCAAAATCACCCCAAAATCACCAAAAATATCCAAAAATCTGATAAAATCAACACAAAATATCCCAAAATCACCCAAAATCACCCCAAAATCACCCAAAATCATCTAAAATCACCCAAAATATCCTAAAAGCTGATAAAATCACCCCAAAATCCCCCAAAATCACCTCAAAATCACCTCAAAATTACCAAAAATATCCAAAAATCTGATAAAATCAACACAAAATATCCCAAAATCACCCAAAATCACCCCAAAATCACCCAAAATCATCTAAAATCACCCAAAATATCCTAAAAGCTGATAAAATCACCCCAAAATCACCTCAAAATCACCCCAAAATCACCAAGGTCCTGGGGGGGCCTGGGGGGCACAGAGGGGTCAGAACGAGGGAGGGAGACCCCAAAATCATCCAAAATCACCTCAAAATTACCTAAAATATCCTAAAATCTGATAAAATCAACCTGAAATATCCCAAAATCACCCCAAAATCAACCAAAATATCCTAAAATATCCTAAAAGCTAATAAAATCACCACAAAATATCCCAAAATCACCCCAAAATCACCCCAAAATCACCCAAAATCATCCAAAATCACCTCAAAATTACCTAAAATATCCTAAAATCTGATAAAATCAACCTGAAATATCCCAAAATCACCCCAAAATCACCCCAAAATCACCCAAAATCATCCAAAATCACCTCAAAATTACCTAAAATATCCTAAAATCTGATAAAATCCACACAAAATATCTCAAAATCACCCCAAAATCACCTCAAAATTGCCCAAAATATCCTAAAAGCTGATAAAATCACCTCAAAATCACCTCAAAATCACCCAAAATCCCCCAAAATCACCTCAAAATCACCCCAAAATCACCTAAAATCACCCCAAAATCAGAAAAAAATCTGACAAAATCATATAAAAATCACCTAAAATATCCCAAAATCACCCCAAAATCAGCCAAAATCACATCAAAATCCCCTAAAATCAGATAAAACCACACAAAATCACCCCAAAATTCCCTAAAATCTGTTAAAATCACCCTAAAATCCCCCCAAAATCAGATAAAATTACCCCAAAATCAGATAAAATTTCCCCAAAATCGGACAAAAGCACATAAAAATCAAACAAAATCACCCACAAAATCAGAAAAATCAGACAAAATCACCCCAAAATCTGACAAAATAACCCCAAAATCTGACAAAATCACCCCAAAATCCCCCAAATCTCCCCAAAATCTGACAAAATCACACAAAAATCACCTCAAAATTGCCCAAAATATCCTAAAAGCTGATAAAATCACCTCAAAATCACCTCAAAATCACAAAAAAACCTCCTAAAATCTGATAAAATCACCTCAAAATCACCCAAAATCACCAAGGTCCCGGGGGGGCCTTGGGGGGCAGAGAGGGGTCAGAACGGGGGAGGGAGACCCCAAAATCACCCAAAATCACCTCAAAATCACCCAAAATCACCAAGGTCCCGGGGGGGCCTTGGGGGGCAGAGAGGGGTCAGAACGGGGGAGGGAGACCCCAAAATCACCCAAAATCACCTCAAAATCACCCAAAATCCCCCAAAATCACCTCAAAATCACCCCAAAATCACCTAAAATCACCCCAAAATCAGAAAAAAATCTGACAAAATCATATAAAAATCACCTAAAATATCCCAAAATCACCCCAAAATCAGCCAAAATCACATCAAAATCCCCTAAAATCAGATAAAACCACACAAAATCACCCCAAAATTCCCTAAAATCTGTTAAAATCACCCTAAAATCCCCCCAAAATCAGATAAAATTACCCCAAAATCAGATAAAATTTCCCCAAAATCAGATAAAATTTCCCCAAAATCAGATAAAATTTCCCCAAAATTGGACAAAATCACATAAAAATCAAACAAAATCACCCACAAAATCAGAAAAATCAGACAAAATCACCCTAAAATCTGACAAAATCACCCCAAAATCACCCAAATCACCCCAAAATCTGACAAAATAACCCCAAAATCTGACAAAATCACCCCAAAATCCCCCAAATCTCCCCAAAATCTGACAAAATCACACAAAAAAATCCCCAAAATCAGCCAAAATCACCCCAAAATCACCCAAAATCCACCCAAAATTCCCCCCAAATCCTGTATTTTTGGGGTATTTCTGGCTGATTTTCATGAGATTTTTTAATATTTTTGGATTTTTTTGGCTATTTTTGGGTTATTTTGGGCTATTTTTGAAATATTTTGGGGGTTTTGGGCTATTTTTGGGCCATTTTTGGCCATATTTTTGTATGTTTTGGGCTATTTCTGGCTGGTTTTGAGGGGATTTTTGGGGCTTTTTTGGGGGTCTATTTGGGGATATTTTTGGGCTATTTCTGGAATATTTTTGTGTTATTTTGTGCTATTTTTGGGCCATTTTGAGCCATATTTTTGTATATTTTTTGCTATTTCTGGCTGGTTTTTAGGGGATTTTTGGGGCTGTTTTGGGAGATATTTTGGGGGGTTATTTTGGGCTATTTCTTGAATATTTTTTGTGTTATTTTGTGCTATTTTTGGGCCATTTGGGCCATATTTTTTTATATTTTTTGCCGTTTCTGGCTGGTTTTTAGGGGATTTTTGGGGATTTTTGGGGCTGTTTTGGGAGATATTTTGGGGGGTTATTTTGGGCTAATTTTTGAATATTTGTGGGTATTTTGGGCCATTTTTGGCCACATTTTTGTATATTTTGGGCTATTTCTGGCTAGTTTTTAGGGGATTTTTGGGGATTTTTGGGGCTGTTTTGGGAGATATTTTGGGGGGTATTTTTGGGCTATTTCTTGAATATTTTTTGTGTTATTTTGTGCTATTTTTGGGCCATTTGGGCCATATTTTTTTATATTTTTTGCCGTTTCTGGCTGGTTTTTAGGGGATTTTTGGGGATTTTTGGGGCTGTTTTGGGAGATATTTTGGGGGGTTATTTTGGGCTAATTTTTGAATATTTGTGGGTATTTTGGGCCATTTTTGGCCATATTTTTGTACATTTTGGGCTGTTTCTGTCTGGTTTTTAGGGGATTTTTGGGGGTGTATTTGGGGATATTTTTGGGCTATTTTTTGAATATTTTTTGGGTATTTTGGACCATTTTGGGGCCATTTTTGGGCCATTTTTTTAAATATTTTTTGCCGTTTCTGGCTGGTTTTTAGGGGATTTTTGGGGATTTTCGGGGCTGTTTTGGGAGATATTTTTGGGGCGTTATTTTGGGCTATTTTTTTTAATATTTTTGGGTTATTTTGGGCCATTTTTGGCCACATTTTTGCATCTTTTGGGCTATTTCTGGCTGGTTTTTAGGGGATTTTTGGGGCTGTTTTGGGAGATATTTTGGGGGGTTATTTTGGGCTATTTTTTGAATATTTGTGGGTATTTTGGGCCATTTTGGCCACATTTTTGTACATTTTGGGCCGTTTCTCTCTGGTTTCGAGGGTATTTTTGGGTGTTTTTTTTCTCTCTCCGGGAATTTGGGGTGATTTTGGGGGATTTCGGGGTCACCCACCGTGGCAGGTGCGGTTGTCGGGGCCCAGCCCCAGCCCGGGGGGGCAGCGGCACTCGAAGCCCACGGGGAGGTCCCGGCAGGAGTGGGAGCAGCCCCCGGCCCCCTGCAGGCACTCGTTCACTCCTGGGGGGCAAAAGGGGGTTAGAAATCCCAAAAAAATCCCAAAAATCCCAAAATCCCAAAATTCCAGACCCCAAAAACGCCAAAATCCAAAAAAAATCGCAAAAATCCCCAAATCCCCGCCCCAAAAATCTCAAAAGTTCCAACCCCAAAAGCCCCAAAATCCCAGAAATCCCCACTCCAAAAACCCCAAAATCCCAAATTCCAAAAATCCCAAAATCCCAAAATTCCAGACCCCAAAAATCAAAAAAAATCACAAAAATCCCCAAATCCCGGCCCCAAAAATCCCCAAAATTCCAACCCCAAAAGCCAAAAATCTCAAAATCCCAAAATCCTCAAAATCCCAGAAATCCCCAAAATTCCAACCCCAAAAGCCCCAAAATCCCAGAATTCCCCACTCCAAAAATCCCAAAATTCCCAAATCCCAAAAATCCCAAAATCCCAAATCCTAAAAATCCAAATTTGGGGGAAATTTGGGACTTCTGGGGGAAAATTTAGGATTTTTGGGTGGGTTTTGGGGGAAATTCGGGATTTTGGGGGAGGAATTTGGGGTTTTGGGGGGGATATTTGGGATTTTGGGCAGGAATTTGGGGGGATATTTGGGATGGGAGGAGGAGGTGGGGAGGTTTTGGGGGGATTTTTGGGGGGATTTTTGGGGTTTTTGGGGTCCCGGCAGGAGTGGGAGCAGCCCCCGGCCCCCTGCAGGCACTCGTTCACTCCTGGGGGGCAAAAGGGGGTTAGAAATCCCAAAAAAATCCCAAAAATCCCAAAATCCCAAAATTCCAGACCCCAAAAATCCCAAAATCCAAAAAAAAATCACAAAAATCCCCAAATCCCTGCCACAAAAATCCCCAAAAATCTCAAAAATTCCAACCCCAAAAGCCCCAAAATCCCAGAAATCCCCACTCCAAAAACCCCAAAATCCCAAATTCCAAAATGCTCAAGAGAAACCCAGGGGCAGCGGCACTCGAAGCCCACGGGGAGGTCCCGGCAGGAGTGGGAGCAGCCCCCGGCCCCCTGCAGGCACTCGTTCACTCCTGGGGGGCAAAAGGGGGTTAGAAATCCCAAAAAAATCCCAAAAATTCCCAAAATCCCAAAATTCCAGACCCCAAAAATCCCAAAATCCAAAAAAAATCACAAAAATCCCCAAATCCCCGCCCCAAAAATCTCAAAAATTCCAACCCCAAAAGCCCCAAAATCCCAGAATTCCCCCACTCCAAAAACCCCAAAATCCCAAATCCTAAAAATCCCAAAATCCCAAAAATTCCCCAAATCCCACAACCCCAAAAATCCCAAAATACTAAGTCCCAAAAATCCCCAAATCCCAAAATCCCCAAATACCCAAAGCCAAAAAATCCCAAAAATCCCCAAATCCCTATCCCAAAAATCTCAAACGTTCCAACCCCAAAAGCCCCAAAATCC